CCTGCTGGGCCGGTGACATGAAGTAAGAGAAAAAGTAAACTCAGAAAGCAAAAAGACAAAGTGGAAAAAGCTAAGCAAGTAGAATACCAAGATATTTGAGTCATTAAAAAGGAACTGAAAAGTGAAGGTGAGTCAGCTAGGAAAAAGGAAAAGTTTGCTGTTGTCACCCAAGATCATTGAGCTGGCGCGCAAAACCCTCAACCGTAGGTTCCCTAACCACGTGATCTGGAAAAGAATTCCAGTGATCTATAACTCGGTGCGACAGACAAGTTTCCGTCCTAATCCTACCAGACCCTGGTTTATGCAGTTTCAGTGGGTGACGGCGGGGATTAGGTAACGTAGCGGGACTAAATAGCTTTAACAAGTCCGGTCCGATCTTACCCGTCACAATACGATAAGTGAGAATCAGGTCCCTCTTATCCTTCAGTAGTGCATGGAGTGCATCCCCTAACTAAGCAAGCTTTCAGCATACGTCTGTCCCCGTAGACCCTGCACTAACCGAGTGCCCACTCGTAACACCCTCTCCAAGTCCATTTTGTTTCGGATAAGACATGGTGGACAAGCCTGGATACAATATTCCAGGTGGGGTCGGACGAATGCCGAAAATAGCCTCACAAACAAATTGACCGTTAGGATTCCGCAAGAGCGGCAGATAAACCACATCATACGAAACCCCCGACAAGTAGCTTTCTTCCAGTTGTCGCCAGAATGGAGTGCTGATGCGTGTACGACCCCTAAATCAACCTGCTGAGTGACAACAGCAGGTGGGAGGATTAGCAACGCCAATTCGGAGAACAGAGCACTTGGCCCTATTTGTGGGCATCAACCATAAGGTAGACCATTCCCAGAGCCTATCCAAGACACCTTGAATTGCCTCAGGACCCCCGGGATATCCACAATATTCCAGAGCTTAAGGTTGTCAGCAAACATTAGTGATGACACCCCTAGCTCTCCAGGCAAGTCACTTACGTAGATCGCGAACAACAATGGCCCCAATACCGAGCCCTGCGGAACGCCACTAAGGACACCTTGTTCGAGCGAAAGGCTACGCAGCACTCGCACGCACGGTTCTCTCCCATCAAGGAAAGCAGAAACCCATTGAAGAGCGCGACCAGATACCCCGTAAGATCTCAACTTTAGTGAGAGTCGAAGATGAGGAACAGTGTCAAAAGCTTTCGAAAAGTCCACGAATAGCACGTCTACAGCGTGACCACTGTCTACCGCTTCGGCCCAGCTTTCACGAGCTACAAGTAGATTAGTCTGACACGAAAATCCCTTGCGGAATCCATGTTGCGCAACACTGAGAAGGTTAAATCGATTCAGGTGGTTCTACACTGAATCCCTTATCAGCTTTTCAAACAACTTGACTACTACGCTTGTCAACCTGACAGCCGGTAGTTCGTGGTCAGAGCGCTGTCACCGCCCTTAAATATTGGACAGATGATTGCCTCCTTCCATCCAGAAGGTAGGACGCAGCTTTCAAGCGATACTGAAAACACGCATGTGAGAGGACCACACAGCTCAGTGGCCAATCCATGCAACATCTTCGGATGAATTGAATCAGGACCGGAAGCTGTAGAGGGATTAATGCCTTGCAGTAGCTCGAAGACCTGGGTTTCCGTTATTTTAAACTCAGCTAAGCAAGAATCCTCTGGAACTCTTGAAACCAATTCAACCTGTGGTAAAGAGATCTCCCGAGCAAAGACCCCAGTATACTGATCCATAAGTATACAAGCCTTGTCATAGTCAGTTTGCGCACGGATCCCGTCTGCTCGCAATACTGCTGGTATACAGTTTTGCCCCGCTGCGTGTTTTAACGTAAGCAAAATACATCTTTGGATTAGTTGCGGCCTAGTCCGCTAAACCCTGCTCGTAGAGGAGACGAACAGTCCTGAGACGTCGCTTACATTTATTTCTAATCTCTCGATAACTATCATAGGTACTGGCTGATGGAGCTGCTTGATAGGTTCGCCAGCATCTAGACCGTTTCTTGAGTAGATACTTGCCTGTGGTATCTATCCATGGAGGCTGCGTCCGTAACCCACTTTTTTCATGAGTCATTCATTCATTCATTATACATTTTAGCTAGAATTGGGAAACACCTCAGCTACTGTGCCGCAATACATGGAAGAAAAAAGGAGAAAAAATGCAACTGGTTCAAGCCAGCTGAGCTACCGGTAACGGATGGGCGTCGTTTCGGTAAGTTACCAGCCGACTACTATGCAGTAGAAAAAATCATTTTCTATGTAAAATTATATAAAGCTAAATAGTGAGATCGTGGTTGGAGGGGGAGGCTAAGAGAGATGGGGTGAGACAAAGAAACTCACAACGCGAACGCCACTGAGGTCAGCTTCTAGCCATGTCGGCAAGTGTATCCAGCCAAACGCGTTCGTCGTCTTTCGAACCCCAAGCAGGGAGCCGTGATGTTATGTGTTTTTGATTTTGCCGTATTCCATGCTTTGGCATATTTACCGTTCTAATACATGTTTCTGTTTTTATAGCTCATACGTCCGAATTATTAATCGAGTAAAGCCTCCTTATCGGCTTTTGTCTTCTTCCTTCATTCCTGGAATAATCCGTGTTCATTACAATTTACTCGATTAATACAACAATCTCATGGATCGAATCTTACGCCCAGATCGCTTTGATGTGGATCCTCAATCTTCTGACGCCGGCAAACGCTGGGCCCATTGGATCTATACTTTCAACAATTTTTTAGAATCGATCGAGTCCATGAAGCCGGACAAGCTCAAAACGTTAATGAATTATATCTCATCTGCCCTGTTCGAGGTGGTTTTTCAGTGCTCTTCTTATGAGGATGCCGTCAAAACGCTACAAGATATCTTCATAAAACCCAAAAACGAAATTTTTGCACGTCACATCCTAGCCACTGCCAGGCAAGAAAACCGTGAATCGTTAGACCAATTCATTCAGAAGTTAAATTCCGCTGCTAGTGACTGTAATTTTCTACCAGAC